AGTAGGCACCACTCAAAGCGAGATTCACATGAGGCTGCCTTTCATCAATGATAATGAAACTTCAATAGAAGCAAAAAATCAATGTATGAAATAGACTTGGAGTAACCGTAGAAATATTCAGAATAAATCATAATCTAAGCATATGATATGAATAGCTTTTTGCTGAAAAAAGTATTAAATTTGGACAACACAACCATGAAAAACATATTGTATCTAATCCAATCAAACTACTTGGATGCTAAACCTACCGTTAATTTCGAAACGCGGCTGAACTGAATGATCAAGGCTGAAGACCAAGTGGGAAAAAAGGGATGCAATATAAAATGAAGACTTATAATTTTTGTAGTCATCAACTCATTGTATTTATAGGTGAAAAATATGAGAATTATAAATTTGTAAAAAATTTCAAAAAGAAAGTGTATTTATTTATTTAAGGTATTGCCCTAATCAATTCATTATATTGGTATTCTTAATCAATTCATTATATTAATATTCCTAATTAATCTTATTCCTAATTAATTCATAATATTGATATTACTAAATTTCCATTTTTCATTTCTTACCAAATAAGCTTTATTAAGTATTTGACCAATAAAATATAAAATATTTAATTAATTTGACTACAAAAGTTTGGGCGGGAAAATGAAATAGGAGGATTTTACTCTTTTTTTTTTTTTTTTTTTTTTTTTTTTTTTTTTTTTTTTCAGATGAGGGGTATACCCGTGGTGATCTAAAATCACCCTAAATATGCATTCTAACACAAGGTCTATGCCGGCGATGCTTGATCCCGATCTGATCCCTCATGATACCATCCCGAACAGTTAGAGGCGGTTCGGTTAAAATTTGAGCCCCAATTGGGTGAGAAAGGGCCATCGTGGCTAAGTCATCGGCCACCAGGTTCTGTTCCCTGTAGACATGCTTATACTCGATTTCTTCCAGCTTCCCAGACTCTAGAATGCAGCGTCTCAACACGTTATTCCGGGGGCCAAGGTTTCTTTGCAGACCCTGGACCGTAGTTAGCGAGTCACTTTCAACAATCAGCCTTCTAGCTCCATGATCGCAAGCCAGCCGGATGCCTTGTAGCACTGCCCACGCTTCTGCCTCTTCCACACCACATCTCCCAATGTTGTGCGTGAATCCTCCTCTCCATAAGCCCCGCTCGTCTCGCAAGATGCCACCACACCCTGCTTGTCCATTCTGCTTCAAACATCCATCGACGTTAACCTTCAAACAACCTGCTTGCGGCTTCTCCCATGCAACAAAGCAATCAGCATCCTTCATTGAATCCTTTCCAGGTTGCCTGCACTTCGTGAACGCTTCTTTCACCTCCGTATCATATCTACGCAGCCACTCTTTCCGCTGGGATGACGAGGTCGATACTTGGTTGAAAACCTCATCGTTTCGCCATTTCCACAGCCACCAAAGGCGGATGCCAAACTTCTGTGGCCAATCTTCGTCGAACCCTATCTTTGTGTCTCCCCGGAGGTTGGCGGATAACCAGCGCGCCCAGTCCATTGTGTCAAGAACGGCCAAAGTTCTATCCGGAAGGACTGCCTCCCAAATTATATATATATATATATATATATATATATATATATATATATATATATATATAGATTTTCTTTTTTACCCCTAATTTTTTTTATCCTATATATAAATATATCCTATTTCACCACCATCGTCGCCACCAGCACCATCACCGCCGCCACCGCCGCCGCCACCACCAACACCATCACCACAACCGTCGCCGCCCCCACCACCACCGCCGCCCCCACCACTGCCACCGCCACCACCACCACTACCACCCCAACACTGCCACCACCATCACCACCACCGCCACCATTATCACCGTCGCCGCCGCCACCACCGCCACCAGAACCACCACCAAGCAGCACCACCGCCACAACCGTCGCCGCCCCCACCACCACTGCCACAACCGTCACCACCACCACCGTCGCCCCCACCACTGCCATCGCCACCACCACCACTACCACCCCAGCACCACCACCACAGCACCACCACCACAGCCGCCGCCGCCACCATCACCATCACCACCACCGCCACCACCATCGCCACCACCACCACCACCGCCGCCACAACCGTCGCCGCCCCCACCACCACTGCCACAACCGTCACCGTCACCACCACCACCACCCCCACCCCCACCACCATCACATATTTTTATAAGGGTATTTATGTCTTTTAAAACATATTTCATTTCTATTCCTTAAATCAACCAAACACTGTAATATAATTCCTAAAGTCTATTCCTTTCGCGAACCAAACAATATAATACAATTCCTATTCTATTCCTTGCATATTCCATTCCTTATGGAATAGCATTCCTATTACCTCAAAATTCATTCCGTGAACCAAACGTGCTGTAAATGTGTCCATAATTTTTGTTTGAAGATTGCACCTTTAATTTTGTCGTGTTAGAATGACATACAATCACTTAATAGTAGGGAAATTATCCCCTGTATGCTTTCCCTTTTCCTCTAAACCATTTGGTGTGCCATTTTAGCTTGGATATAGGATAAATTTGGCTTGCATTTGAACTAAAAATTGTTTAGGGTACGAGAATTCACATAGGTTCAAATAAATTGATAACATGTTTAAATCAAATAAAGATATGGTTTGAGATTATAAGAAATGAAATTGAATAAATTTGTAACCTATTTAAATATAAGTTGTAGGAGTATTTTAGAGCATGCACATCAATGCCCGCATTTTATTTGGTTTTTGGAACCGTGCATGCTAATATGGAGGAGAGAGAAGGCAAGAGAGAGAGAGAGAGAGAGAGAAAATGGGGTTGCCTTGCAAGGTTGGGTTATTTGTGGGCTCCACATGAATAGAGAAAAAACAAGAAAGGACGAAACTGTACTGTGCGCGTTTCGCGCACGGCATACGCCCAGATTCTAACGATGTCTTTATCACATCGCCTTGCTTCCTACTTAAGCTCAACCTTCAACAATCATGCTCTAGATTCTAACGATGTCTACACCACTACTTCCAGCCAAATAATCATCCATAGATTACAAGTCTCACAATCTTGGATTCACACAGGTAAGATTTTAGAATGTAAAATTCCACGCCCACAATAATGAAATTTCATGTGTGTGTGTGTGTGTGTTTTTTTTTTTTTTTTGTCACTACCCACAACCCACTTCAACCACAGCTAGAAAATTGTTTATGTTTGAAAATTTTGATTGCTAATTTGTTATATTTAGTTACAAGTTACAATGTTTGATTGTTAATTATTTTTTATGGGAGAAAATTTGATCGGTAAATGTTATTTTTATTGACAAGCTAAAATATTTTATTTATATTTATTTTTTATGCTGTAAAATTAAATCATTAATTATTATTGAATATTAGAAAATCGATCTAATCAATAATACAAAAGTAATGTAGAATAATGAACATTTTTATCTTTTTGTAAAAACTAATATCAAATCGAATTTGAGTAAAGTTATGGTAAAGTTGAATGAGTTATTGAGTATAAAATCAACGGACGCTATTTAGACTACTCGCACCATAAAAGTAATAATCTTAATGGCTTCCGTAGTTTTCAAACCCAATAGCCCTTTCAAGTGTTTTTCTTTTATTTAGGCAAGTCCTCCTAATCTTCAAAATGTTCATCTTATTATTAAATTTCCTAATTAAAATTTGATTAAATGAGTTTTATTATTAAATTTAATACTCAGTACTAATAATGTTAGAATCTTTTTATATAGTATTTTTGAAGTTTTCAATTCTATTCTTTTTATGAATATATGCATACAATGATGTTTATTACTTTATTACTTTAGATGTACATGCTAACTTTAGAAATTTTAATACAATTAATAATTTTAATTATTTTATATCAAACAATAAAATTTCTACCAAAAATGTATAATAATATTAAAATTACACACATATTTAACTCATAAAATATCAATTTAAGATTAGGCATGCAACTTTAAATTTAATAGAAGTCACCTAAAAGTTTAAAATTACATGATTTGACTTTTTGTTCGTGTATCTTGTAAGGAAGGGGTTTATTACTTTATTCCCCTTCTATGAGTTGTTATTTTGGCTCTTAAAGGGAGGCCAACATATTATTATATTTTAACCCAGGGTGGTAGCTCAGATGGTAAATGAGCTCTCTTCGTGGGGAAGAATTTTGGGATAACTTGGGTTCGATTCTCACAAGTGAAGATTCCCCCCGAACCAGCTCCCAACCTCTCGAAGCGAATGGGGATTAGTCGGGTGGACCTGGACCGTTGGTTAAAGTACCGGTGGTTTACACCTAAAAAAAAACATATTATTGGTTAAAGTACCTACGAAGTCAGAAAGACTCGGGTGGTTTATACCTAAAAAAAAAAACATATTATTAGTTAAAGTACCTACGAAGTTTTTGTACTATAGTATTTTGTTTAACTAGTATTTTCACTCGTGCGATGCACGAAATGGATTTGTTGTAATATATTAAGAATATTTGAATCGATATATAATTATTTAAATTAGAACATCAAATATTATATAGTGCAATTAAAGTTATGGTTTGGATCGTTTATGTATTTTGATGTTATCATTGCTTGAATTTCCAGTCAATTAATCAATTAGAATATCAACTGCAGTGATATTTTTACTTAATTTTCGTTCCATTTTTAATTGATGATGTAGATATTATTATTGAAATATTTCTTTTCCATTTTAATTTACCTTTACTATTGTTTAAAATATGCATTTACTATTGATGATATGAAATATTATAATTGAAATATTTTCGTCTAATTTTAAATTTTTGTTCCATTTTTAATTAAAATGCAATGATCTGACCATTTCTTTCTTTATTTTAGTCAATTATGGTTCATTTTTTATTTGCAGTCAATTATTAATATTCATTTCCTTTTATATTTTTAGTTAATTAGTGATATTAAATTCATTTTCAGTCAATTATTCTTTTTATTTTCAGACAATTAATCAATTATAATATAGATGCAGTGACATTTTTATTTGATGTGTAGAATATTATTATTAAATATTTCTGTTCCATTTTTAATTTTTTTTCCATTTTAATTTACCTTTACTATTTTTTAATATTTTCGTTCCATTTTTAATTTTCAGTCAATTAGTAATATTTATTTTATTTTCCAATTTACATAATTCTCGTTCCATTTTTAATTGATGATGTAGAATATTATTGTGATATATTTCTATTTCTTTTTTAGTTTACGTTACTTTTTTATTTTACCTTTACTATTTACTATTGTTTGGGTGGAAAATCAAGTAAATAGGATTTTGTTTTTAATTATAGTATAGATATAGATATAAATTATTTATTTATTTATTATTATTCTTGTTGTTGTTGTTGTTGTTGTTAGTTAGTTAGTTAGTTAGTTAGTTAGTTACTATTAAGTTAATGTCGTTTCCTTTTGATATTTTTCCTTTTCTATTGTTTGGGAAGAAGTGTTTGAGCAAGAATGAAAGAAAGATTTTTTTTTTTTTTTTAAATAATAAGTATAGATAGATTATTAGCTTAGTTATCATAATAATTATAGTCAATTATACTAAAGGTGCGTTTGGAAACCCAAAAAATGATTTCAGAAATCATTTTCTGGGTGTTCAATGTTTGGCTTGAGTAGGTCAATTGTACCCGCACCCAACGGGGAACCCGATTCCCCGCCCCTACGAGGACGGGGATGGGGAAAGAAATAGGGGATTGGGGATGGGGGCAATTTTGAATTCCCCGCCAAGGACGGGGGCGGGGATAGGGAGTACTCTCCTCTCCCCACCCCGACCCGTCCCACACACACACACACACACACACACACACACACACACACACACACACACACACACACACACACACACACACACATATATATATATATATATATATATATATATATATATATATATATATATATATATATATATATCTGTGTGTGTGTAGCCACACAACACACACATATGTAGTACTTTGTATACAATATATATAATTTTAGAAGCATTCTTGTCATTGTATGTCATACTTATGAAATGCATATTTAAATAACATGTTTAATTTTTTTTATAACTTTCCACCACAGTTTCCATTGCTTCAATTTCATCTTTTACATCAAAGGCTTCAGTATTATGTCCATGCTTCCCCTCCAAGAGGGCTTGCACCCTAATCATGGTGTCATAAATGATTATTGCAAAGTCATCATCGTTGTCCCTACTTTCTTTGACACTATTGCACCAAGCATCTATGTCCACTCTATCAATTTTCTCCTTTTCCATGGACTTTTTGCTATCACTTGCACACATTTTCTCAATAAGTTGGCACATTTTTTGTCCTGATAAAGCCTTCAATTTCTCAGAGCTAGGTGTACCCTGAATCTCTCTTGCCATTTCTGCAAATGATAGAGCAGGTCCCTCATCTTCCACAGGGGCTTGGACTTTCACAACTTCATCTTGCTTCTTTCTAGCCTTAGAAAAATCTATTAACCCCCTTACTGCTGATTTAACATCATCATATTCCAAAATCAGGCCTGTGCTTGGCTGAGGGCTAGTTGTGGTCCCCAGTCCAGCTTCAGCTAAGACAGATTCCTCAACTTTTACTACACTCCCCTTTTTGATTTCAAGTGAGCTATTCTTCTCAGGTTTTGATACACTCATAGGACTACCCATCTCCTCAAGCAAGCTTATGAACTTTTCATGTATAAATTAATAAATTAATAAATTAATTTTAGAAAAATTAAAATAAGAAGATACTAAGACTTTTTATATAAGAACCTTTTGGCTTCTCAATACTCGCCCACATTGATGGGCAAGAAATTATGTTTAGAAGAGGAGCATTCTCTTATATAAAAGAGCTCAAAAGCTCCTCTTTTCAAATATTTTCGATGTGAGATCAAAATGATGGCACACTATTTACAAAGAGTAGCCTCTGTGGCTCCGCTTTGTCTTTTTTTTATTTAAAAAAATAATTTTATTTTGTCTATAGTTTTGTTTTGGTTATTATTATATTATTAATTATTAATTAATATCATTATTATTGTAATTTTATTTTATTATTACACAATAATAATAATAATAATAATAATAATAATAATAATAATAATAATAATAATAATAATAATAATAATAATAATAATAATAATAATATAAATTTCCTTTTAGCTATACACTTATTGTTACATAATTGTAATTATACTATTATTATGGTAATGATTAGTTTGATTACCATAATAATTATTACTCCATTATAATATTATTTATTGTAATTATTAGATTAATTACCATAATAATTATTAGATTCATATAGTAATAATTTGGGAGATATAAAAAAAGCTTTTTTTATATATAAAAATTAAAATATTGAAGTAAACAATTTTACACATGTTCTTGTTTATTTTCCAAAAAATGAACCAAAAACAGAAAGACATTTTCTGAAAAATGAATTAAAATACACAAAGACAATTTTCTGTTGTGCACCCAAACATTGAAAAGAAAAATATTTTATGAAAAATAGCACATTTTTCAGAAATTATTTTCCTACTATCCAAACAAAACTTTAATATCCATACAATTAATTTGTTAATTGCCATAATAATTATTAGATAATATACATTTGCGTTAATCTTTCCCAAACCTCCTAATAATAAATTAAAAAAAAAAAACTAAAATAAGAAGTTATTAAACTAAAGCTTCTTATTAAGAGCCTTTTGGCTTCTCAATACTTGCCCACATTGATGGGCAAGCAATTATGTTTGTAAGAAGAGCATTGCTCCTCTTATATAGAGGACCTCAAGAGCTCATCTTTTCAAACATTTTCAATGTGGAATCAAAATGATCCCACATTATTTACAAAGGAGAGCCTTTTATCTTCTTCTTCTTATTTTTTTTTAATTTTAATTTTATTTTGTATGTAGTTTTGTTTGGATTATTATTATTATTATTGTAATTTTATTTTATTATTACATAGAATTTTTATTATACTTGAACACTATATATATATATATATATATATATATATATATATATATATATATATAATTATTACGTTTTATTCTATGTTATAATTCTTACGTTAATATTCTTATTGTTATTATTAACACTTGATTACTTTTAGATATTATAATTACCACTTATATTATTATTATTATTATTATTATTATTACTATTTTCTTGTCAAGTTCTGTTAGTATATAATGACCATGAGGCACAATAATAATATAACAATAATTAAATATTCTCGTATTCTCTATTACTCAGATTTAGATTTAGATAATCATTGCTATCAATAATTATGAAAATTCAAAAACATAAACTTTATCCTATTTTTTAAAATGAAATTTGGTGTGGTACTTTATTTTGGAATAAAATACAAAAATATTTTCAAACTTTTTATTATGAAGTTAATGAATTGTTTTATTACTTTTTACAATCGTTGTATAATTTTTTTTTATATAATTTTAGTCAAAAAAAATGATTATATTAACATGAAGCACGGAATTATTTATTCTTAAAATGAGTAATTGTCCCATTGTTCATACATTACAACGATAGAACATTCTTCTATGATTATATTAGCAAGAGGTCTAGAATGATTAGCATGATCTCTTTCCATTTTTCTTTTAAGAAAATAGGCGCAAAGACGAAAAAGCAGTTTAGCTTATATAGATTTTGCAAAAGGGATTTACCAGGCAATACAAGGCAACTGCTCTGATACCACTTGTTGGTCCCGGTAGGGTCGAAAGAGAGTCTAGAGGAGAGGGGGGGGGGGGGGGGGGGTGAATAGACTCTGATCGATTTTTCAAAGTTACTCCTTTTCGGAGTGATGCACAGCGGAATAAAGGTTTCGACTTAATTATACTTTGCACACTTTTGTTAGAGGCTCTTAACATTTGGTCGATATGATATGCAATGCACGAAAGGTAAAGAGCAGTATTTAAAGAGATAGAGAGAGAGATTTTTATAGTGGTTCGGCTGTCACAACTTGTGAAAGGGTTTGCACCATCACTCCTAATACAAACTACTTCAAGCTGGCTTCCTTGATCACCAAGCCGGACAGCGGAAGAGTTGAGTGTTGGAAGGGGGGTGATGTTGTGTTTCTTGATGGACAATTTTAATATAGTCCTCGCAAGTGCACGAGTCAATTGTAGTAGTAGCGTGCTTTTAGAAAGGGTCGAACCCACAGGGAGTTGATACAAATGCAATTTAATTACTTAAAAGAGTGAAAAGAGAAAATAAAGTTGAAAATTGCAATGAAATTAAATCGAATCGAATGAGAACAACTTAGGAAAACATACTAATCAAAAGTCGAGGAAACATAATTGACAATTAGAATGGATTAATTAAATTACTAGTAGAAAATGACAGTAGGAAAATAATTGAATAACCTCAAAATGAAATAGCAAGAGATTGAATAAATACTAAGAACATAAATCAATTGATGCACAATTTAATAACTTGATAATAACTAATTAAACAATTTAAAGGTTCAAAACTAATTAAGAATCAAATGCAAAATAATTAAAATTCAAGAAGATAAACGAATGAATAATTGAATCAAAACTTAAGACGGTGAACGAGTAAATTACCTCGAACAAAAATATTAACTAAACAATTAAATTAAAAAGGTCTAAGAATGCATTTGAAAATCAATAACTAAAATCATAATTAAAATCAAACTAATGATAACATAAACAAACAAAAATCAAAACAATAATAACAGAAGCAAACCACGTGACATCAACTTCCAAAACACAAAGTAAATTAAGAAATATAAAGAATGAAAGAGATCGAGGAATTGCTGACTGCCGTATAGAACTGCGAATACCAAAGAAATATCTAAACAAATTGGAATTCTTTGTTGATAAACTAGAATGCTCTGCTACACACCGAAACAAATTACCATCGCCCAGGTTGCTGCCGAATTGAGAAGAAGCTGCCAATCGAACGAATTTTTGGTGCGGAAGAAATCTGGCCACTGCCGACGGGATTAATTTGTTATGGCCAACCTTCTTTTATCGCCTCCGATCCGGAACTGATCCGGAGTGAAAATTGGTGATGCCTTCTCTGATTTTGCCTGCATTTATACTACTTGAACTCCAATAATTTTCCCAAGTTCTGCGTTCCTCCATGGCTTTGCGTCGCTGTGATAGCCGAAGCTATCTTCTTTCTTGGGTGATGTTGACGGCTTCTACACCGCTGCGCAAAAAAACTTTGACCAATGTGAAAATGATTGTTTTTTTTACTAATTATTAAATCACATCTTATTTAAGACTTAAATAAATTAGAGTCCAAATATAACTATGCTACACATATTAAAACTCTATCCTAAATATGTACTACTACTACTACTAAATTAAATTGTGGTATGAAATTATTGAGCTGACAAATTTTTAATAACAAAACTAATTTAATAATTAAAACGACCTAAAATTAAACAATATTAATAAAAACTACTTATAACAAAAATAAATAAAAATAGATATAAAATTAATTAACTTTTACAATTTAACTATAAAAGATTATTAAAAATAATAATACAAATATTGTTTATCATTTCTCCAACAGGTTGAAGCCTTGTCTTGATATCTGGATGAATCTTCACTTTGAAAAGATGCAAGACTTCTTCAACTTTTGTGAAGTGTGGATGATGGATGAGCCTTTTGAAAACTTCACAAATACACTGGTTATGAAAAGCTTTTAGAGATGAAACTCTTTGAAAAACTTTTCTTTGGATAGCAATAGTTGAATAACCACCACCTTCTTCAATGGTGAAGAGAGGTATTTATAGGAGGGGAAAAATTCATCCATTGGAGGGAGATGAAAATTTCAAACCTATTAATCAGTATGTATTGACCAGTGGGCACAGAGCATTTAATGTGCTTGTACTATGTGCCGTTGGTATCAATAATTATGAATATAAAGTTAAAAAAAGTATGAATATATAGCTTTATAATTATGAACATATAGTTCAGTAATTATGAACATAGAACCGTGCCACAGCATAACGACTGAATAAAGTGGCGTACATACTTTTCATCCACAATAATGAAATCATTGATTTTTTTTTTTTTTAATTTCCATTTGTTGTTGAGGCAAATTGTTTTGAGAGTTTGTCAATGACAGTTGCTGTCAATAGAGGATGATAACAAATAATTCAAAATATAAGATTACAATAGATATTGTTATAATAATATAGTAAAAATTAATTTACAAGTTTTCGATAAAAGCATAAATGAAATATTAAGTTTTGTTCTCAACTACTTCTCAATAATCAAAAGCAGATTAATTAAACGGAAAAAAAACAGAACTTAAATTTATTTATTTTTTAATGAAAGAAAATCAAATAATTTTCAAAGTTCCTGATTTATAATCATTCAATGCTATGTATTTAGTCGAGCTAATTATTTGACCAAGGTTTATTTTAAATTTTATATTATATTTTTTAATACATTTTAATATATTTGTAGTATATGTTTAACACTTATGCTAACTCTAATTGTGATGGGGTTCAAACCTAAGACATTTCTTATCGAAATTAGTGAGTAAGTTAAGAATAATAAATAGTTAATGAAATATTCCGTTAATAAAGTTTATACTAACGGAATTTAAGGTTATTTATGGAAAAAAAATAATATAATAAAGGGTAAATAAGGAAAATTATTAAAAATACTTAAATCAAAATAATATGAACCATTCATTTTAAGAAACAATTACCACCGACATTTTTTTTATTCCAGTTAAGGGCCTAACATTATTGGCTCTTATTAGAATTGTAGATTTCAATTAATTTTATATCAAACTGTTGGTCCCGAAAGGGTGGCGAGAAGTCTAGAGGGGGGGGGGGGGGGTGAATAGACTTCTCTAACTTTTTAGACTTTCTTCGAAAACACACAAGGCAAATAACACTTTGGTAATTTCAACTCTAAGTAACAAGCATTAACAAGATAAACAACTTAGAGTGTGCAGCGGAATAAGTAGCAATAAAGTGTTATGCTTAATAGTGTGGTGCTCAAAGAGAGATTCTAAACATGCAACACGTTAGAAACACTTGATATGGTTCAAGGATGATGTACGCAAAGTTTGGCTTGCATGCAAACGTGGGAACTATAAAACCCAGAAAGATAAAGATATGCGATAAATCGTAATCGGGTTAGTTCGCAGTTAGAATAAGCATGCACAAAAAATATGAGCAGTATGTAAATAGAGAGAGATTTATAGTGTTTCAGATGTGGTGTAATCCTCCTAGTCCACTCTTCTCCTTTCACTTCAAGGAGGAAATTCACTATTCTTCGATCACCCAGATACAATAGTGAATAAGTGTCCACCGACACTTCTCCGAGTGCTTCGCACAAAGCTACACTCCTCCAAGGTTTTTCGCAAGCTCCTCTTGTTACTCCGCCTTCCCGAGTACTTCGCACCAAGCTGTACTCCTACACCACGAGAACTACGCACAAAGCTACGTCCTCACAGGGTTTTCACAAGCTCCTCTTGTTACTCTGCCCTTTGCACCGAGTGCTACGCACAAAGCTACACTCAACCAGGGTTTTTTACTCTTTCTAGTTACTCCGCCCTCTTTCTACACTCAGTAGAGAAATCTACAAAGAGATAAAATTTTTCTCTCACTCAGACTTGAATTTAATCGTGTATAGCTCAATATATTGCTTCTTGGCTGATATGAATATTGCTTGTTTTTTTTTTGCTTGTATATCTCAATTTTTCAGCCGTGTTCAAGTCGTGCTTGTCTTCAAGTCTGCTTGGACAATTTATAGCTAGTGAAAGCTATTTGCCCGTTGATCAACTTTCGATCTCGATCGTCCATTTTGAATTGTAGTTGATCAAAAGATATTGTCAACTTGATCTGAAATATTAGGTAGATGTCATTTCTCCTTTTGTCAGATGATTTGAATAATTTGCCCGTTGCCGTGTCTTGAGTTTTGTAGCCTCCAAAATTTGAATAAGTTCGGCGCGGCAAGCTTGATATTTCTTGTCCTTCATAAATGCTCTGACATGTCAAGTTGATCAAATAATTTATCTGCTGATTCTTGCTTGAGTATAAAACAATTTCTCCGCGAATCAGCCTTCTTCGAGCGTCTCCGGTTCCACCGTAAAAACTTGATGTTCAGATGAAAATATATCAGATATTTTCTCCTTCATGATCCTTGTAAAATAATATACTTGAACCTCTGTAAAAACTTCATAGTTTGTTCATGGTGAGATGCTCTGTTTCGATTTTAAGTTTGGTCCACCATACTTGGTGTGTTTCTCCATCTGGTGCATGGCTCTTGTGAGACCTAGTCTCCCATACGGTTTGGACTAGTCTCTCATACGGTGGAGCTAGTCTCCCAAGCAAGGTAAAAATGCTTCACTTAAGATTTGAACTTAGGATCATTTGGCATAACTCACACACATTTCTTCCAACTCCTCTAGCATGGTTCTTGGTAACTTATCCGCATCATAATTCTGTTAAGCTATAATCCCGCTTAACTTCTTCAAATAAATTATGATCTTCCAGACTTGTACATGGGTTGCATGATATGGGTGCACCATGCTCCGTAGACTTAAACTGACTCAAATAGAATAAAAATGGGGACTACTTGATTTTTCAAGAATACATTCGGCTCATCAAAATTTACAAATTATTCCTAACACAAACAATAAATGTTCTACCAAAAATGTTTAATAAGGTTCAAATTATACAGAAAATTAACTAATAAAAAATCAATTTAAGATTTTGTATGCAAATTTTAATTTAAAAGAGGTGTCATAAAAGTTTAAAAGTACATACATTATTTGACTCTTTGTTCATGTATCTTGTAAGGATGGAGTTTATTCACCTTCTATGAGTTGTTATTTTGGCTTTTAAAGGAATGCCAACACATTTTATATCTTTCTTCTTTTTTTTTTTGGTTAATAAAATGGTTTGTTTTGTTTTAAATTAAATATTAAAAAAGAATTTTTGATTTGTTTCTCTATATGCTCAATTATTAATCTATACTATCCATACTATCTATAAAAACAAAATCGTGAACTTTAACTTCCCGCCCAATTTCTAAAAAAATCTCGCTTTCTAATAAAATATATTGTTTTCTACTTTCCTATTCGTACTATAATTCTAGGTTAAAATTCCTATTCTAATCTCAACCTATCTATAAAAACAAAATCATGAACTTTAACTTCCCGCCCAAATCCTAAAAAATCTCGCTTTCTAATAAAATATATTGTTTTCTACTTTCCTATTCGTACTATAATTCTAGGTTAAAATTCATATTCTAATATTATAAAATATAAAATAGTGTAATACAATTCCTAATAGAATATATTGTTTCCTACCTTCCTATTTGTACTATAATTCTACATTAAAATTCCTATACGTAATACAATAGGACAAACTATCTATATATCTATACTATACTAGTTTTTCTATGCGCTTTGCGCGAATAGGATAATGCCCAATGATTCTTTTTAAATAAGTATTTCAAAGTATATCAATGCAATATTATATAGAAGATGTTCATGCATAGGTAAATAAATGTTGAATTTGTTTGTTTAAATCAGTAATTTAAAGTATATAAATGCAAGATACTATATGAGAGATTGATTATGTATAACTGTCACAAAAATAAATGGAATAAGGTTCAAATTGGCATTAAACGTAACCTGAAAATGTAATTAGGTCACTGAACGAAATAATTTTTAATAAATTTTGATAATAAATTTTTAAAAAATTAAAAAAATTTTAAAAATCACGGGTGGTCGTCGGCTACCCCGTCTGTTTTATTTTTATTTTTTATTTTTTATTTTTTTATTTCAAATTTTTCAATTTTTTCTAAAAAATTATTGTTAAAATTTATTAAAAATTATTTAAAATGCCAACTCAGCTGTCACGTAAGTAGGTAACCTGCTACGATTGATAATAACCTTTTATCCGGTGAAATTGCATACATTTGGAGTGTTCAGTGGCTTAATTGCACGTTTTTGAGTGTTCGGAGGCCTAATTGCATTTTCATGTTACGTTCAGTGACCAATTTGACCCTTATTCCAAATAAATGTTTGCAACTTTGTAATAACGCTAGTCTAAATACTTAGTCTAAAAGCGATAGTCTAAATAAATACAACTTTTGGTTTAAATTTCTCTAATTCTCGTTTGGGTAGCATTGTCATTGTCTTCATCTTCAGTACACGTTATTTTTTTTTTTTTTTGGTAGTATGTCATGTGCAATTAGGTTATTGTTAGTAGCATAGAGGGATTCATCATGTAATGAGATTATGGTGTAGGAAGCATTAGATTTGCCTTGTTGTGTATATGACTGGGATTTTAGTTGTGTTATGAATTCTTTATCTTACAAGCACATGTTGATATTTGATAGTGGTAGTTTAATTTCACATACATGTTTCATGTGTTGTGAGATGTGTGTCATAAGTTATCATGTGAAAGTATTGAACAAAATATTAATATTTATTATATTTGTAAAAAATACTTGGTAAATAAA